ATTTTGCACCGTGGGACAAGCTTGCCCCAGACTGGCTAACCGGCCCGGCAGTTCAGTGGGAGCTCGCTGTCTATACCAAGCTGGTCTCTTCGGTGCAAAAGCGGCCAGGGCCAGGCTGGCAGTTCAGTTCTCAGTCAAACTTGGCAAAACGGTCTAAATGCAGTGTGCGCCAGGGTGGGAGTCTTCTGGTCATTTCTCGAACGGGGAATTCACAAACTACTCCCAAGGAGTCCTATGTTGTCATTCATATGATGGTTTTGTCGGATATAGTCCAACATCATCTCTAATTTGTTGGGGTGTGCACAAAAAGAAAAGAAGACTAGTTGCTAATTTGAGATAGAGTAAATTCCTTACGAATAATAAAGCTGCTCAGTAATTTTCTCTGAATACTATGACAACAGATTGAGAGTTGAAAACATGTGCGAGCTGTTTTATTTATCGTCTGGTGGGCGTGCAGATGTAGCTGCGAAATCAAATCAAGTTTGATATAGTGTTTTTTTTTTATTTCATGTTCAGTACATGGTCCTAGCTTACTAGTTATAAGGCTATGCTGGCCAATTATCTGCTGCCTGGTAACTGGGCTTCATAGCTAGCAGGTGGCCCTGCCGGTCTGAGTATTAATCACAGAGCATTGCCGAGGGCTCACCCCATGCCCACGTCATAAACGGTGATGTGGAGCTGCATTGCAGCACCTAGAGAAGAAACAGCATAAACAGCGACCTTTGATTAGTAAATATGTATCACATAAACCATAAATCAATCTTTGAATTAAAAGGTAATGCAACAGAGAGGCTACCCAAATGATCTTGGCTGTATGTACAGTCTCCTTCAATATAAAAGACCCACTAGGAGCGCCTGGCCGAGACGGCGGCGGTCGGGGGCGCTATGTACTCTCTTAGTGAGATTCCATTCTGTCTCGAGGAAAGGACACTCGCTCGGGGCACGACTGGGCTTGAACGCGCTTAACAGGTTTTTGTTTAGGTTGAGCCTAAGAGTGCGCTTCGTCGGCGTCACGCCCAGAGATATAGACGGGAGGAAGATCGCCTCCGACGGGAGGAAGATCGTCACGAAAGCCTCCTTCAGAGTGTCTTGTGCTACGGAAGCCGAAGAGGTGGCCATCGCACTGGCTATCACTTGGAACCCAAAAGCAACTATAATATCGGACTCTCAAGGCGCCGTTCGCAACTTCACCGCGGGTTCCGTGGGGGAGGTGGCGGCCGGGCTACTGAGAAGACACCCCCCGCAGGCGGCTCAGATCATCTGGTCTCCAGGCCATATCCAGGAAATGAGGTGGCTCACGCCACAGCCCGAGATTCTCTTCCGAGCCGGGACTCAATTCCTGCCTCTGGCACGGAGGAGCCGTGGTCGTTCTCCAAATGTCTACTGGACATCCGACTTGCACGTAAGAAATTTCCAGCACCACATAAGTCCTTGAGCAAGAAAGGGGAACACATCCTTCGACGGCTACAGACGGATACATTTCTCACCCCAGACAAGCTACACACCTGGTACCCGGACAGATACGCGTCGGCAGCGTGCCCGTGGTGCGGATGGCAAAAGGCAGACACATACCACATGGTGTGGGCCTGCGAGAAGAATGAAGAAACTTCACAATGTGAAGCAAGCGAAGAGGAGTGGTATGCGGCGCTCGCAAGCGAGGACCCGGTTAAGCAACAGCTGCTAATCCGGCGGGCCAAGGCGGCACAAGCAAGTGGAGTCCTGGAATAGGGTCACACAGCTAACTCCTACTTCTTCTCTATCTCTTTTTACCCCTAACCCCCTTCCCTCTCTCCTGCCTTTGTGCAATAAACATGTTTTCAACAACAACAACGAAGGCTCGAAGCAAGCATACTGTAAAGGACTTAATTTTCGCGGGCTTAAATTTTTGCAAATCGGGCCAAAGATGAAATATTAAAATTATTCCCGGGTGCTAGCGGAAGCGCACATTCACATAGAGGCTGAGGAAGTGCGCTGCGCAAGCCCTGGAGGACATGTACAAGGCGCTCGACAACCTTTGGCATGTGAATGTTGTCCTCAAGGTTCCTTAACAAAAGTGTTAAAGAGCCTTGAAATAATCAAAGAACCATCTAGACGGAGTGGAGAATGAAGCAAACATTGAGCCTGGCACGTTTTCCTCAAGGAAAGAATAAAATTGAATTCTGACATGAGGTTTTCATTTGCAGCCTTCAAAAAGTTTGTACAAAGCTGGCACGAGCTCTTGTGCAGGAATGTCTGAACCAGGTACCCGGCAAAATGATAAAGAACATTTTCTTCCACAATGTTAAAATGTGGCTCATTAGGGAGCAATTCAAGTTCGCCACTGTCAATGACAAGCAATGGTTCTGGCTGGTGATTGGCTGCAGTGGATGCAGGGAGACGCCTCAATTCGACTAGTAGTGCGAAAGTGCCCGATTCACAGTTTCCTCTACTGGAAAGCCGAAACATCTTTCGGAGGAAAATAAGCTTCAGGTCTTCCACAAACCGAAATGATTTGGGCGTCTCATTGCATCCATGCTGCTGCCTGATCATGCCGAACACGTTCTTCAGCGCACACTGGTTCAGTCGTGTAGTCAAAAGGTATTCAAACCCGAAGTTTTCGCTCAGGTCTTCCCACAGTGAAAGGATGGCATTAATGGTAATCTGCCATCCTTTCACTGTGTGAGGCCGCCTTGGCGACTTAAACTGCCATTGCGAGATCCAGGTGCTTTTTGTGCGAAGAAAATGAATGTGTCCGGATATGGAATTTAGAGCAAACCTCAGTTTGCGTTTTTCAGCTTTCATGTTTGAGCTGTTCAGCGAATCAAAAATTTTATTCTACCCGTTTTTTCTAAGAAGACCCATGTGGCCTGGGTTTGGGGGGTGGTGGGCAGCTCATGCAGGTAGATGATGGTGGCAAGAGCAAGGGAAACTGTGTCACTAAAAGCCTGCTCAGCAAATTTAACCTTCATGTTTCCGAATGGGGTCTGATAAACATGCCGGTCAGTTAATTCTTTTGTCATTCGCAGCCGCAAGGGGCGCTTGTTTTTGTAAAGGTCAACAATGTATTTCCATCTGATTATTGGGTTTTAAATTTTGAGGTCGTGCTTCCGCAGGTTGTTTTGTGTACACTTTAGAAGGCGGGGGTGTGGAAAACGAACTACACTTGGGTGCCACTGACAGAAAAGAAAGGATGATCTACTGTGACACCCAGCAAGCCTGGGAGAGTGCAGTTGCTGGCCCCTTGGTCGCACACGACGGCCTTCACGACGATTCCTCCTGCATTCAAAATCTCAATGATGTGGGTCAGCAAATCTTTCAGGCATTTTGCCGAGGCTTTTGCTTTCGAAAGAATGAATGCCAATGGCTGCATCCAGGTCTAAGAAATACCTCCCAGCATGACGACTAGACCAGAGTTCGCCACGTGAGCAGTTCTCTCTTTACTGCTGTCTGCGAAACCAGGCACAAGGTCAGATTTTGTCTCGTGGAAGACATTTTGCTTAAGAGCCGTTAAAGAGCCGTCAGCCGTTAAAGAGACGACCGTCACGTCTGGTGAATACGGCTCCAAGAGTATACACACATTTCGAAAGTGACGTGTGGCTAGACAAAATATCTTACCCACTGCACAATAGCGTTATTATAATAACGCCATTCCGCGGTGTTGGTATACCAACACCGCAGAACGTAAAAATAACGCGGTATGCCAGCACCGCGGAACGTGAAAATAGCACGAACGGGTAGCTTCGTCTTGTGCTCCCGCTGCGCGATAACTCGTGAAACATAGGCGCAATTATTGAACGCAAAAAGGATTTCGCTTGTGACCTCTATTGTGCAGGGCTTGCAAGGCTTCCAACGAAGGGAAGTCTTTTGGAAGTGATCGGTGTTGTAATATACGTTTAGTAAACTAAACATCTGCTTAAATACACGTTTTGAAGAACACTGGTTTTGTTTTTGCACAAGTACACAATTATATCCTTTTAGTGGATCCCTCCTTGCCAAGTGTTGCCGACCGCTCGCACGGCGCTTCTATACATCGTTTCACCTTAAATCTAGATATAGCCGGCACTATGAGCGAATAGGGCCAATCAAGGAGCGTCAAAGGTGGAAGTCACTAGGTCTTTTCTGTTCGCGATTAGTTCAGAGATGATAGAACACGTACATAAACATGCCGAACACCATGGTGGTCTGCTTTTCACGCTGTACGATTGGTACCATCAGCTCGTAGCGTCGGCTACGTCTGGACTTTAAGTGAAACAGAGCATATATCCCTTTCGATTGAACTACAGCCACGACCGACGCTACAACCAGATGTAGTCAGTCAAGGAGGCCAAAAAGTGCATCATGACGGCACTCTTCGCCTTGGCGCCTTTGCGCTCACGGGCTACAGCAATCGCGCGCTGAAGAAGTGCAGGATCGCGAAGTATTCACTGCCTGATGAATTTACCTTAAAGAGGGTGCTGCTATTTCGTTCCCGCTTCGATGCTACGTCAGGGTGAATCTCCGAAGCATTACCTCCTAATTGTTCCGTTGTCTGCTCCTCTTACTTCGGTGTTTCGAATGGCGACCTCATTAGGAGCACCGATAGACACACCGTTTGTTCCTGTTTCCGCCTCAGAGGACTATCATCTCTCTCGTGCTCGCGACTCCGTGACGCTTGGGCCTCCGCGGTGTCCGAATCTTTTTTCGCTTTGGAAACTCGCACTACCTCCACCGCCAAACTCATTGTCCTCGCTTTCGAAAGCAAATTAATTATGAATCCTACCCAACCTCCTCCCCCGCGATTTGGCGTCAAGTAACCTCGAACTCCAAAGAAAGACATGCGAAGAATCCCTGCTTCGCAACGTTCCTTCTGTATTGAGGACAACACCGTATCGCTCGTGGAAAATAATGGAGCTCATTTAAAAAAGAAAGTAGCTCAGTGTCATGGTACAATGCGTAACCTTCATGCGGTGTCTTCCTCGCAATGATTAATGCTAATATCTTTCTGCGCTCGGCCGATTTTTGCTTCAGTAACCGAGGGGAGAATGAAGGTGGCGACGGCTCATCTGTTTCTCGTGCTGGCGGTGCCGCTCTGGCTGGTATGTGCCAGGGTGCCGCTGTTGATACAGTGTGCCCAAAGCCTCGGACTGCTGATTCTGACAACGCTTGTCAGCTACTGGACAGTCTGGATTCTGCGGCGGAATTTGTTTCACAAGCTTGTCGGTGGGGACGGAAAAGCTGTGCTAATAACAGGTGAGGTTCAGATAACTTCTCATTGGTGCTGTCTTCACATCCCATGTAAGAAGAGCCAGCCGCCCTTACCACCTATTTTTGAAAACAAGAGCTTTCTTAGGTTCACAAGAACAACGGGTTAGTGTTAAAGTCGTTTCCTCATGAATTTGGCGCTAAATCTGCGCAACATTTTTTGCTAAAGGCGCAAGTCGGCAACTATAGGCGCTGCAAGCTTCAATAGACATCCAACGGCGAAAAATCCCACATATCAATACATTGAGATGAAGTTGCCCTAATTTTTTAAGCTGTGTCGAAATGACATATTTATGCACTTTTGTTCGCTACAGCGAAAGAAACGTTATACCAATTTTACTTGGCGTATACAGAAACGTATCATCCCCAATAAGAAACCGATACCCAGAATGACTCCCAAACAAATTAGAACGCGAAAAATAGTAGTGATGGGGAATACTTTAGTGTTACATTAGTCGCAAGTCGTCGCCTGCCCGTTGTGTTTTTCTAAACTTTTTCCGTTTATTTCACTTTTTGTATTATGTCGCACAAATTAGTCTTGTTGATGGTAGATATAATGCGCAATTTATAAGTGTTCCTTTGCGTAGCTATCTCTGGAAGAGGTGGCGTATGTTAGACGCACTTCTTCCACCTCACAAATAGTGGATTTCAATGATCTTGGCGTGAGACTTGCTATTGAAACGACAGAGGTTCTACGTTAATAAACATGCTCTTCAAAACTTACGACCATAGTTCGTTTCTAAAGCTTCTTCAACGGAACCTCTTAAAATATGCTTTATTTCGTTCTCACATTTTAGAAAAAAGCAATAGTGGTGTGTGATATTTTTTTATCAGAAAGCGCTGAGAAGAACGTATTTAAATTATTAGGTAAAAAAAAGAAAATATTCCACCCGACAATAGTTACACTATTTTTTTTCTAATATCAATTGATGTTTTGATTGAAAGGCATATTTTTTTTTGTAACACAGATGTCAAGACCGTTAGCGCGAAAGGTGATTCAAATCACCTGACGATGTCCCAACCACCAATACAGCAATCAGGCACTTAGCACAATATTCATGCAACCAATTGCAGAAAACAAGTGGCAAATCGGTAGAATATTTATTTTGACAACGTGATTGCTTGTCTTCACATGGTGATACTTGCCACTTTAGAGGGGTGATAAGTCGAGTGGACTACGGCTACTAACGCAGATTCTTCTACGTCTTGTCTTTTCCGTAGCGGCAGTTTGATTACAAACACACAAAAAAAAGAAGGAGCAAACGAAACGGCAATTTCAAGATTACGTTCCGTTGTAAAGAACGCACATGTAGAAACCTAATGAACTGGGATGTCAGAGGGTAAACGCTAATAAGTAAACCTCCCCTTTAATCCGTCTCTCCAAACGTGTTCCCTTCCTTCCGCTAACCCTTTTCCCTCCTCCCCCTGTTGCGGCTCCAACGGATACCAGGCGGCGGTCCAGTCACGTGGCGACGAACGCTGGGGGCAGGAAAAGGGGGGGGGGGGGGGGGGGACTTCAGATCGCGCAATGATTGTTTGATTGACAAATATTATTTTGGCCAAAGTGTCAAGGCGGTTTAGAAAAAAACGTGACTAATATCACCTAACTACCCGGCAACCGCCAATGCTGCACTAAGGCGGCAGGCTTACAAACTTGACTAGAAAAAAAAAAAACAGTACATACAGCACAAATTACAAGGTTACTACACTGGTTTACAGGTGAGTAAATACTCCTTATCATGTTTTTTTTTTTTTTTTTTTTTTTAAGGAACACGAAAGAGATTTTATGGGGCAGTGGAAAAATGCGAATATATTGGTAAGGGGTATCCGGGATTCGATAGGATGATTTTTGACTTCCGCAATCAGTTTCCACCTTGGGTTTTACAATTTTCTGATATCTGAGATTAGAAATATTTTTTTAGGGGTTGATTTTACAATGTATTGACTTTGGGGCCTTGAAGCACAAAACTTCATGAAATATGAATATTTTGTGTTCTAGAAAATTGGAGGCTGTTACTTCGGACCAAGTTTGACTGTCAGAGAAACGAACTGCTCGCTTTTTGTAATTCAAGGGATTGGTACATTTAGTTTTTGTCATCGTGCAACAAACCAGATAAAAATATTACAATTTCGAGCGAATCAGCGGTGCACAAATTCGCAGTTTGAAGCACCATGGCAGAAGATATTTACGATTCAAAATTATGCCAATTAATCAAGAAATCTCTATTCTAAAATTATTCATATTGGCTGTCCAATCTAAAATTTCGTGCAAACAGACACATTAGAATTTAAATGTTTCCACGTGCTCAAAAGTCGAAAATTGCCAACATATGTTAAAGAACCCCTGAAACGAAAAAAAAAAAACGTTTTTTTTTAGCAATTTGGTTGGGACACGCGTGTCAAAAAAAGTTTACGAAAAAAAATTAGAGCAACATTGACTGCGAGAGATTTATATGAAAGTTCGCGCACGAAGTCCACGACGTCACTGGTCATTTCGTAATGACCATCTTGGTAGTAATGGCGAAGCCGGTTTACCTCTCTTCCACTCTGTGTTTTTTTCTCGTCAACTTAGACGTGCTGAAGTGAATGTAATCTTAATAGCCTAGGTTGTAGTTCCCATTTATTAGATTAAAAATAAATTTCAGTCGATTGATCAGTCAATTGATTGACAGGGCGCCCTGTGTCGTTGTTATTCTACTCTTTGTCCCTGTTCTTTTGGCGCTTATTTCGGTTTCTTTTCTTAGTTATCGTCATATGGCGCACATTTTTGGTTATTAAGAGTCACTTGCCAATCATCACACCATTGTGAAATCCTTTCTAAAACATTGTTTACGACTAATTGGTCTTTTGGGAATTTCACTTGCTTATAAATTATACAATAATCGGCAAATAAACGAATTTGAACAGATCTGTCTACTCTAATGTCATTTATAAAAATTATAACAAGTAGGGATGCGAAACCCGATCCCTGAGGAACTCCGGATTCTACTTTCGATATGGATGGACGGAAATCCTGTAATGCACAAACTGCTTTCTGTTATTCAAATATGCTACTAACCATTTTAAAATGTGTTCAATGTTTAATCAGGATCTCAGTTTGAGGAGTATAGCTTTCCGGGAGGCACTCTGTCAAATACCTTTGCAAAATGTATAATATTGACGTCCGTCTGATGTCCGGAGTCAATTGATTTTGCGAAATCATTCACAGGAAGCACCAGTTGCGTAACTGTCACTTGGGGATCCTTGTAGGGTATTTAATCCGTACAAATATTGGTGTTCGCGTATGTAAAAACAATTAGTGACGCTGCCGATATCAAAACGTATTGGCGCTCTGATATACAGCCCGCGCTGGCTGTCTTACTATTTGAGATTAGGACTCATACTTGAACTCTTGCTCTTTACTAAGAGCGAATGCTGGACTGAAAAACAAACATAGTAAGACAAGGTCGAGGTTGGAGGGCACCGTAAATATATTATCACCAATCCACTGGCTCTTTTGATATCGGTCACCTTCTATGGGACACACCATTCACTGCTGATTCCTTCAAATGCCTTGCGGCTTTGATTTTGCACAAATCTTTTAAGGCATTTTCAAACAAACCAACGAAAAATGTACGAGCGCACAGATTGGCAAGGTATTATTGGAATTTACAATTAGATTGTTTCGTTACGCCGAAGCAGCAACAAGCCTTTTTTCAAAACCGGATCAGGCAACATTTATGATCGCCATTTTTTCGGGCATGAAGAGTGCGATTGGAAACCGAGTCCTCTCCTAACGCGGAAGCACCACGTCTTTTTACACCAGCTGAGCCTAGTTCACACCGAACTCTGACGCGGCCGTAGCGTTCAACACAGACTTAGAGTGCTATCGGGTACGAAAGAAATACGAACATTGACGGAACTTCGAGAAATCCACAAGCGCAGCATCGAAGCTTCGGTTATGGTGGGCGATGTTCAAAGATGTCGGAGTACGAGACACACGATCGCAGCGCAGTAATTTCCACCCCGCAGATGTGGCAGTTTCCAAAGACCTCCGAATGGAATGCGAGTTCGCATTCCATTCAGACTCGTAAGTACGTGCTTAAACATTGACGGACTACAATAATTGGCATACGCAACTACAATCAAGCTCGAAGTTAAAAGAAAAACAATTACAATGCAAACTTACTGCATGCTGAGACAGGCACAGAACCTATTTGAATACTCTTTTTTTCTTTTTTTTTTACTTTTGAAAATTAACAACGCTAGTTACGACAAATACCTGGAAACATTCCGTCTAAGGCTGTTACGTTTGCCACAAAGCGTGGAAATGGCCACTTTCAACATTGTAGACTAATGAGAGATCATTCCCAAATCTCGTGTACAAGAAATGCCGTAAAGGAGTCTTCTTTTGTTATTTTCTTTTTCTCCGGGGAAGGATGTGACACGGGTTTCGGGCACCTGCTGGCAGAAAGATTGGCCAAGGAGGGCTTCTACGTGTTTGCCGGCTGCCTATTCTCTGACGGTAACGACGCCAAGGAACTGAGGTCCTCGTCGAACATCCACGTGCTGCAGTTGGACGTCACTAAGGAGGACCAGGTGGAGCTGGCCTTGGAGGAGGTCAAGAATAAATTGGACTCTAGAGGTGCGCGTATTCCATACAACAATTATAAAAATGTATAATTTTCTGAGTTGTGTTCAACTGGTTGCTTATGGTTCAGTTAGCTTGGAAAATGGTTACGTCTTAATAAAAAAAAAATAAGTTGTCGAATGTTCTTCCAGAATGTCCAATGCTTTTCAGGATGTTGAAATTTGAGCAGCTCGCCTGTACGTATATTAGTGATTTTACCACAAATCTAGGTTTCATGAAAACAAAGTTTAGCCGGACTTTTTGATTCAACTGATTAATTTGTATAAAAAAGTAAAAACATAACTCCTTTATAAAAAAAATCATTAATCACGCATGCGCAAAACATGACAGGCATTCACGCACTCAGAGTTTATCTCGATGTTGAGTTGCGTCCAGCCCTTTTTAAATTGCTTTCAAGATGACGCCTGATGTCGCTATTGGTCTGTGCGCTTAGGGTTTTACAGTAAATCAAAGACGTGAAAACACATGGGACATTTTGTCTTGGACCGCTGTCTGTTCATTATCAAATCTTTTGTTGTATAGTTTCTATAAGTTTTGCAGTTAGCGCATACTAAAATTGACGTTCAACGCCTTCCCTGCTCGCATATTTCAAACACATAAACCCGCGAGCAAGGATTATTTTACAGTTCTATTTATTGTTGAATTGAAAGTGTATATACTCACGAGTGCGCATAAAGTAAAACACGGTCAGAGAAGCCGCCGCGACCATGTGACTTTGTCTAGCGTTACACGTCCGACCACATAGTTGAAAACTTATACGCCATGTAAATATGCAGGCCGCAGGGGCATAGCCCGGGGAGAAGGGGCTTAAAGAGCTTCAGCCCCCCTCCCCCCCCCCCCCCCCCGTCCCGAAAAAAATTCCTCGCTGCGCCACTGGCAGGTTGTTCCTGCAAGCTTTTGCCAAGGGTTAGAAACGCTGGTGCACGCTATACGTGTCAGACCAACGCAGTAGTGCTCACACTCCTATGAAATAAGACGATATTTATTGCGAACTTCCGAACCGGCTATGTAACGCAAATTCCTTTGATACATTTTGAAATAAAGATATTTTGTGCAAACACTTAATTACAATATTTTAGAGCGGCCTGTTAAAAATAACCGATCTGATAATGTACACCAAGATAACTTTCGTGTGTGTATTTTTTTAAGGCTTCATAAAAGCAGATGATATTTTTTTTAAAAGTCCCACGTGTAACTAAGGGCACTAAACATCGCAGTTTGCTACCGGGAAGTCACGTAGGCTTTTTTCATACTGTGTGCTTCCTTTAAAGCTCGAAAGAATTTGATGCACAAAGGCTATCACCATGCAAGAGAATCATTCGGATATTTGTCAACCCTAACTATGAACTTTGCATTGAAGGGTTTTCGGAAAGACGAGTATTAAAAAGTTGGCTGATTTCGTTGTGCTAATTAGTCACTTCGGCAAATCGCAAAAATAGCATGACTTCCTCATCAGGCCTTAGGTGTTGGCGTTAGGCGTGAGACGTTTGCGACATGGGCTGCTTGCACCGAGTGTTTTTTTCTTGGCACAAGGTAGTTGAAACACACAGTATTTTCGCATGCCAGGAGCCTTAATAGCGTTGCGCACTTTGTTAGCAAAGAAATTTAAACACAACATTTTTCCAATGTACGAAACTTCCTAAGCTTTGTTGCAGATTTGCGTGCTGGCATCTCCAGAACTTCAATATAGGGCGATAGGTGGGATTTTTAATATTTTTTGTTGTGAGAATCGAAAGTTTTACAGGTAACCCTTGACTACATTTTTAATTGGCTACTCTGCACAACTCAGGGCCTTGTATTAATAAAAAGCACAATGAATTACGAAAATAATGCCATCAAGTGACTCAAGAGTTCTTTTTTGTAGATGAGAACAATGTTTTAGTGAAAACCAACCTACCTTATTTTACATGGGTTGCATTTCTCTGGCCACACCGCAAATTACTTCAGGCGATCACAACCTTGACTCTCCAGTTATATAGAGTGTGACGAATGCAGTGCTCTAGAAATATGCAATGACTCTAGATGTACCGTTCATACAAGTGAGCGGAGTATTGAAAACCGAGGGTATTTATCTAGTTTTGATCTAAAGTAATTACTCCAAAGGTAAATTATAAGGTGCTATGAATCGGAGGACACGCTCTAAGATACGAAGAATCGGCACCTTCACATAACAGGTTATACATTTTACTGTAGAGTGTATTTTAGTTATGTTGTTTACAATGTAAAATTTGAACGAAGTAACTTTTCTTCCGAGGAAGACCATACCAAATTTCCTGACATGTTCAACGGTAGACGTCGACACAGATATTCGACAGAGGATTATGTTTGAGGCGTCATCTACCGATAGGCGGAGCAAGAAGAATACTAAACTCGACTGAGAACAGACGACTCAATCGTACGTTCACTGCCTCTGTCGGGAGATGGGTCCAGTAAACGCCGACGAAAATAACAAGTTTAGTAGATCGTTCGAGTACCTCCGATAACGAAAACCGATAACAATACGATGCATCCACAAAGGTGTCGGCAGAATAATTGGTCTTGTTCGAAAAGAGATCTGTACGATCTATGCTTAAACTCGCTAATATCTCAACTACCTTTGCTGTGCTGATTTCGTATATTCGCCCTTTATTGTTTGGAAACGACTCAGTTTCGCCATCTATGAAGTGGCTGCAAAACGTTTCCGGTCCACGTATGTTTTATCATTTTTTACTCATTCTTCATTTATCATAAGAGTGAATTACGTCTGGCAGTGATATAAATGGACAATTCCAGAAGATAGTGTGTATATTTGATTTCGGAAACACTGCGAAACTCGCCGTCTAGTTAAAAACAGGAAGTGGTCGGTGGCTATTTGCACACTGGCGCCACCATGTTCCGCCTCACGCGAGAAAGAGTGAATGTAAGGCCATCGCTTCGTTCGCTGCAGATGCATTGAAGTAAGCAATGCCCTTTTCCCAGTCTGTCGTAGCGCTAATTATGCTCTCGTATATTCAGTGCTTCACCAGCGCGTGTAAAACATTGTGCATGTTATGTTTACCTATCGCAGTGCTCTGGTCGGTAGTGGCCAATGCCGGTATGCCAAACATGGGCCCCGTCGAGTGGCAGACCATGGCTCGGATTCGGTCTGTCTTCGAAGTCAACGTCTTCGGTGTGATCCACGTCGCTAAAGTGTTCCTCCCGCTGCTGAAGAATTCAGGAGGCAGGCTCGTCATTGTCTCGAGCGGTTTAGGTCAGTGGTTATCCCATCGAACGACCGCTGTCCGCATTCTTGAACGAAGTAAGCTCAGGGAAATGTTGCGCTTCCATTAGCAACTTGGAAACAACACTGGAGCTAATAATTAGGTGTCGATCACCCTACCGATAAATCAAATAATGCTTTAATCGCGACAGATTTTTAAACCGGTTAATAGGAAAAATTCTGACGAACCAGAAGTAAAAATTAAATGCTCCCACGTCGCAAAAACGTACGACTAGATTTGTATGAATGGCAAACATTAGATGACATCTAAAACTTCAGTAAACTGTAAGGCCGAGATTTGTAACTCCAGAAAAGTGCAGAAGATTACAAGTGTCCCAGTCACTTTAATTACGTGCGAGTGTCGGTTTGGCTCAGCAAACACTATTGTGTACGACCGGAGGAGGCCGCTCTTGCCAGAAAATATCAAAGAACCTCTTTGCCTCACGCAGATGAAGTAATAATCAGTGAGTGTGAGTGTTTTTGAACTGTTCTCCACTACATATTGATCTTGATTCATAATCGAGCTTGTATATGGCGCCGTTTTTCACATGTTCAGCAAAGGCAAACAAAAATATTTATAATTTTGACCTTTAAAAAATATCATGCGTGGTAATGATCAAGACCAAATAATTCATTTGTTAATCGGTTAAAGGGTGGTAATTAATCCGCCTAAAATTTTAATCGACTCCTAGCTTTAACAATAATTTAATTCAACTGGTAGCAACGAACACAACCTCTGAATTAAGGCAAACGGGAGTGTATTCGGAACGTGGTGCTGCAAATTATTATATCGGAAGCTAAAACGCATTGTAGGTTCTAAAAAGGTCTAGAGTGTGCTAAAACGGCTGCGTGGGTCGACTGAAGCGCCTTTACTGGGGTTCCGTTTGTCTAAAGAATAGACGGCACTACCAACAAATTGGTTCGAAGACAACCCGCGCTCTGCCTTTCCTCCCTTCTGATTTGATAGAGCCCTGATGGCGAATAGGGCAGTATCTGTAATATCGGTATAGTGGCAGTTCCTACTTGCATCGTCGCGGGCCAAACAAAGCCTCTTCATATCCGCCTCCCTGCGTAAGTTTGATGTAGCTTAATTGTTGTCATGGCGCGGTCTCGTTTCTACTGGGTGTCCGAGCTTGCATCCATCCCAATGAAAAAGATAGTATAGACGTGAAAAGTTTGTTTTTACGCCCCTCAGCATTGCCACTACAAGGAGGCGTCTGTAGTTGACTAGTGTAGTCCGTTGCAACTCAAAAAGGTAGGGCAAGGGGAAGGAAGGTCGGGAGCGATGAAGCAGGCGAAACGCTAAAGAGAGGAGGAGGTCTCCCGCTCTCCTCTCCAGCGTTCCATCTGCTTCGTCCTCCCCGGCCTTCCTTTCCCTCGCCCTACCTTCTTGAGTTGAATAAGCCATCACTAAACGAGCAATATATAAATAGTGTCACCTTACGTGCATGCGTTACGTTTCACCATTTGACACTGTGATATCTCATGGCTAAGGTCACGTGACCATCTGCTTTCCTTATGGTCACATGAAGGTCACCTGACGCTGTAAAGTCCTCTGACGTCATGACTTTATGTGGCGTGACCTGACATCCTGGTGTCAAGTTACATAACTAAGCGTCACGTCACGTGGTCATGTGAAGTCGGGTTGCCCCTTGAATTGACAATGTAACATCACGTCAAACCATAATTTTACATGATGTCACGTGACAGAGCGCTTAGAAATGGGCTACGTAGTTGTTTTTTCATATTTGATTCAAATGCGCTACAAAAAATCACAAATAACGACAGTGAGTAGAGAGAGACGACACGATATACACAAATATGCGCAACCTAACAACCTTTTATTTGTCCTTCCACACGAAATCACTAACAAGCCAAGAAAGAAGAAGAAAATAGAGGAAAAAAAATAAAGATAGCGACACTGTTTTCCGATTTCCGTCATTAAAAACGCTCAAACCTACGTCAAGTTCAACAAGGTACGTGAGTGCGGAACGTGATATGGTGTCTTATTAATTAACTCTATTTCTTTCTTTCTTTTTTTTTTTTTTTGTGAGGGAAATACGGAGTTTCTGAAACACATTAGGTGCGTCCCATCTTGACAAGGTCACTTGAAAAACAAAATCGCGAAACGAATTAAACATTATCCATGACGCAGAAACTCTCCCCTTCGACTTGGGCGGTCCCGCAGCGCTATACTATGTTTCAACTTAAGTCAAGACGCAGCCGACGCTACGAGGTAATTGGACCAATCAAGAAGCATCAAAAGCTCAAGTCACAAGGTCCTCTTGCTTTAGGATTGGTTCATCGGTAATGAGACGCGTACAAAAACATGAGGAACATCAGGATGGCGCGCTTTTGACTTTGATCGATGCCATCAGCTCAGAGCGTCGGGTGCGCCTGGACTTAAGGTAAAACGAAGTATAGGAACCTATAGACGATTTACTCAAGCGCCATATCACAGCCACCATTGCTGACGTTCTCTAGTCTTTCCGGGATGCCGAGCAACTGAAGCGGGCGCTGCGACGAGCCCCCACACAAGTCATTGCGGGGGAGGAGGACACAGTAGGATCTATAATGGGAATTGCATGTCCTGCTCTAGTAATTATGGAGTTAAATAAACGAAATAAAAGTTAACAAAAACAGACTGTGTGGGTTATGGCGGCGCCCATGCACAGCTAGTGCAAAGCGTATAGAGAACTTTGCCAAAATCACCTCGTGCGCGCTGCCGTCTTTGTCCGTTGGGCTAGGGAACGCCTTCTGAGTGTACGCTGTTGGAATAAACTGTAGTTCGTTCACTTGGCGGTATATCAGACACTGAGCATGCGTCCACAGCACAGTGGCTCAGCATTCTTCGCCCCGGCGGTACGTGATGGAAAGGTCTATAGACGTCTTCTGTCGTTCCCAGTCGCGTGGGTTCCGTATCTGGTATGCGGGACGAAAAACTAATATTACAGTTCAGCCTGGAATACGCGAAAAAATATAGGTGAGGCAAAACAAGAATGTGTGACTATCACGCATTTTTCATTAACGCCTTCCAGCGGCGTGGAGAGTCCAAAACGATGTTTTCCCGCATACCAGAAGTGTCGACATTCAACATGGCTGCGGTTTTGTGGAAAAGCTGTATAGGACTCTGCAAGGTTGTCTGCTGCTTCCGCACCTCGTGCGCGTTTGTTTATACCCGAAATGTGCCGAATGGTACGTTTACACTTGCAGACCCGCTAGCGAATCCGCCCAGCTTTTGCCGCTAAGCGAAACGCTCGGTGGAAAACGCGGCGGCGAGCCGCACAGGTTCAGGACCTATTTCTGCCGCCGAACGAGGCGTTTCCCTGACCGGAAGTGACGTTCCTGTGCAACGCGACACTGCTTACGTCACGAGGACGCGTTCTTTCAGGAGTAGCAACGCCCGGGAGAGACAGCCGAGGTGGGAGCTATCGCGCCTTCTCGTCGTATTTGCGGGATGTTATGAGAACAGCTGCCGCAGCCGGTGCCGCCACCGCCGCTCGAAGAAAATAGATGTAAACACAACCCGCACCTCGTCGCCGACACCGGGAGCGAATCCGCTCCCTCGGCAGCGGATTTCTTCTGTACCATATGTGCGTTTTTAGAGCGCAGCTCTTAGGGGCCCGTTCCCGGCTTCAGCGGCGTCGCCGTCGGCGTCGCCGTTGGCGTCGCCGTCGCCGTCGCCGTCGGCGTCGGCGTAACCAAGGTTATCCCAAGGTCACGTGACCCCCAAGGTCACGTGACCCCTCCCAAGGTCATCTCAAGGTCACGTGACCCCGCGTGACCCCCTGAAGGTCACGTGACCTTAGGGGTCACGTGACCTTCAGGGGGTCACGTGACCCCTTCCAAGGTCATCTGAAGGTCACGTGACCCCAAGATGACCCCACGTGACCCTTTGAAGGTCACGTGACCCCTCTGAGGTCACGTGACCCCCGAGGTCACGTGGTCTCTTCCCCAAGGTCACGTGACCCCTTCCAAGGTCATCTCAAGGTCACGTGACCCCAAGGTGACCCCCACGTGACCCCCCAGGTCACGTGACCCCTCTGAGGTCACGTGACCCCTCTGAGGTCACGTGACCCCTCCAGGTCACGTGACCCCCAAGGTCACGTGGGGGTCACCTTGGGGGTCACGTGACCTTGAGGTGACCCCCAGGTCACGCCTCCCCGAGGTCACGTGACCCCCTCCCCGAAGTCACGTGACACCCCCCCCCCCCGAGGTCACGTGACCCCCCCCCCCCGGAGCATACTAAAAAATGAGGGGAGGAGGAGGAGAAGGGGGAGGGGTCTACCCTTAGTACCCTTCACTCCTCCTCCTCAAGAGCTGCGCTCCAATTCGGCGTTACAGGGATTTGTAAACGGCTTTCACTTTTTTTCCCTGCCGACCTCAACCAGGTACGGTGCGATCTAGGCTGCCTCCGCCATCGCGCGTTCTCTACGCTTTCTCCATGTTATCCTTTGATTGGCGTACACCTCTTAACGTTTCGATGCGCCAACGGCACATTTTAAGGCCCTTCCTCGCCGTACACTCCGTTTCAGGTACGTACCACAGCCAACGCTGGGATACAATGGAGCCAAACAAACAGCACGAAAAGTGCATCATCACGGCTTTCGTCCTCTTTGTGCGTTTCCGTTCACCGACTCACTAACCACGCAAACGGATCACGGCGCGTTCAGTGTTCGTGATTGGCTCGCTAGGCGAGAGCGAAGGCACAAACATGACGAGCGCCATAATAATCCACTTTTGGATCTGTTTGATGCTAGGTTTAATGGGATCATAGCGTTGGCTGAGTTCGCACTTAGCGTGAAACGGATTGTAGCTTGCGCTTTTGTTTTAACCCCTTTGCTGACCCAAACGCCGCAAATTTTCTAGCCTTCTCTGGGAAGTTTCCACTGCACCCTGCCATTCTCCGTCCATAACTGGTGTAGAATCGGCACGCAGGGCAGGCTCAAAATCTAGAGCCCCTGCTCACGGGGGGAAAGACGGGGGGGGGGGGGGGGGGGGGGAGGAGCGCCTGTCCGCAGTTCGCTGCTTGCATTTGGTGTTGGTTGGTGCTCGACAGTGCAGTATGTTTCGTAACTTCTTCCGCCCACCGCAGAACCGCCATACTGGTTGGTAATTGCACCGTGTGGTCCTAGTGTCGGAGATACATCCGCGCTTGTCAGACTATGGCCCGCGGCCGAAGTTTACCGATCACGTGAAGCCATTGATGTGTTTACGTTAAAGTTTGTCTCTACAAGTAGCGTCAAATGCTCCTGAGTATAAGGCGCGTTAACCCATGCGGCCCTTGGAAGATGGTGGTGGTACTGTTCTGAATTGGTCGGCCCTTGGAAGCGAATGGCAGCGCAGCACTCGCTCGTGGCACGTGCCTTCAGGGTTGGTACAACGATGGTTGCACGTACTAATACGAGTATAAATTGAGGGAGAGGAGTATATGAGAGTTTGCGGAAGCGTAAGAAAGCCGAGATTTGGTTATAATGATTAGTGGGTTGGCGCTAACCTAGCTGCCTTATACACACTGGTAGAACACGTTCGAACGCAAAATACCGGATTCCGGTGCTCGGCGTTCGCGTTAGAACACTGAGTGAAGATAGAGGCAGCTGACGGCTCGTCTACCCTTTAATCGTTCTAAACAGGGCTTGGTTATTTGCCGTCCCCACGCACCCACGTCTCCTTTTCTCCCTCAGCTTCTACAAGCACAAGAATAGCAAAGCGAGAGTTTTATCCACAGACTTTACGGGAGCGCGGAAGCACCTGCCAGCCCTCGCCCGAGGTTTAAACTAGACTGTTTGGCTAAGACCTGGTGCCTAAAGCCCCTTGGTAAAATTCACACTGTACTAGCACGAGAGCGCGCTAGCCACTTTTTGGTCGGAGGTTCAGCTATAGATTTCTGCCTAGCGTAACGCCGGAGCAGCGAACGTATCTGGAGGTTCCTGTAACTGCTTCCGCTGTAAAAATTATAAAAAGACTGCTTTGCGTCAAATGCAGTAAAACTTAAAAAAAGACTGCTTTGTTACAGGTAAAACTTTAATTTTTTTAATGTAAAACCGCAAGTGTAAAGCTTTAAAAATAACGATTGCTTTGAATTAAAAGGCCGAAATGGGTGCAAAGTAAGGGAGAGGAGGAAATGAAAGCAAGCAGGTACACCATAGCGCCGAGCTATTCTTGAAGTCATTAGTGGGTGGACGGAAATCTTGCTGCCCTTGTCTGTACTCGCTGCTCAAACGCGTGTGAACGCTTTCGAACGCCGAGCGGCTTCGTCCGGGTTCGGCGTTCGGCTTCGAACATTCAATAGAAATAAAGGGATATAGTTTTTTTCATATATACTAACTCTGCCATCCCCGCGTCACTTCATCTCCCCCTCTCACCTCCGTTTCTACCAGCATTAACTTGTTAAATGTATCAAAAATCACAAAAAAAGCAAATTAGGTTTTTTTTTGTTTTTTAGAGCATAGTTGTTGGAATACTTTCAACAATAGTATTCGTGATAGAAGAACGGGACATCTGGTTTTTTCATGCCTCTGCGTTCAACCATATTCCTGCTTTTGTATATCTAATACACAGGACGAGTGACCTTCCCCCCAACGACAATCTATTGCATGACCAAGCACGCCTGCATTTCACTGGCCGACGGACTGCGTCGGCAGTACTACGACCAGGGAATCCACGTCAGCACCATTGAGCCATGGGCGTACAGGTACCATCGCCTTTTAAGTTCAATACGCGTGTATAATCCAGCAATTGTAATACCGGTTCTTCAACTGGTGCCATTTTATGTTCTGACCAAGTTTTTAGGCGTTCTCATTTCGGCGTTGGTTTTGTGTTGGAGTGCACCCGTTTCTTTACAGTGAAGCGCTTGGTAAAATGGGTTTCAATAAGTATCTTTTTACAATTCTGAATTCAATTTATTTGAATTTTATTTTCGTATTGCCCCTTCTCCCGAAATATTTGTAAATAATACTAAGGGAAGGTTATAGTTTTGCAGCTATTAGTAAGCGGCTACATTTTAGCGGTACATCAGCCACAAACATTGAAATGACATCAACGCGTAGATAAATCAAATGTTTTTCGAAAGATGTAGTACTTCTGCAAACCTCAGAAGGATATACTAGTTCATGAAGAAAATTTTAATTTAGTAAACAAAAAGAGTGGGCGTTAGAGCTGTATATATATCTAGACCACAGATACAACATTAAGAAAGTAGGAAGTATTTCAGACGTAGTCGTCTAGATTGTTACGAACTTTAAAATGACTAATGTTCGCAAGCCTTTTTTTTAATTTTTGCTAGTTTTTGCGGGTTGAAATATTTATAAATATGTATTGAATAAATATTTATATAATATTTGTTCCTGAAGCGAAATTCAAAACATTTGCACGCCTTTAACCTAGAATATAATCTCTACCTATCTGATGTACATCAATTTTCACTCAACCAAATAATTCTTTAAGTTTATATGCTTCTGTCTTGACCAGAAATGACAACAGAGACAACAAATGCCTTATTTCTATCTTTTTTTTATGAATAAAAGACAATAAATCTACAAAAAGCAGCTACAATAAAATTCGATACAGTAAAGGAAACTTTACTTAATATCAATGCCGACGACATCTGACTTCTACAAGTATTTACTCAAAATATTTTCTCTTCCGCCATGTCAGTAAAGCTGACAGCAGGAAGCCACTTTCTTTAATTTTAGAGACCCGCTCGAAAAAAAAAAAAAACAGAAAAATGTAGATTAACCTGCTGTCAACACCAGTAATACACAAAGACCTGCGTCAAACAGAAAAGGCAGAAAGAAGAGAAAGCACGAAGTTTTGGGGGAATGAAAAAGGTTAGTGCAGGAAACATAGTTTTGGCGAAGTCATTGGAATTCCTAATACAGTACTTGTGTCTACGTTAACTCGTCGCAAACCTTCTCATAATAGGGCATCTCTTTCGAAAGCAAGTTCTTCGAATAGGCCACCTGGTTGCGGCACTTTTTACGTTGCATTTAGCTTTTTGTTTTTTAACCCCAATACATTACATCACCGATTCGAGTACGCCGCCCTTTGAATAACGATAGTGCGCTTTGCACAACATATTTGCAGAACCATTTAAGTGTGGGACATGTTGATTTCCTGCACTGTATTAAGTGCACTTTTCCAAACGATACTTCTCGGGCGAAGTACCAATCAGCACGGAATGAAACCCGAACGCCGGAACGCGTGGCCATCGATACAGGGTGTTCCACCTGGAGGGCCCCTGAGAACTACTGAAAATGCGCCGCGGTGCGAAGGTGATGGTCCTTAATGTCACATTTGTCTGGGGCGCGCACGGCGCCGAGAAAATGTCGTCCCCAAGGCCACGCCACTGAGTAGGTGCACCACATGAAGCACTACCGGGCGAACGCGAAGCATCCCGCCGTGCGACGCGCTCGGTGCGGTCACTGCAAGGGCATAACATGGACGTGTGGACGGTAAAAAATATCCGCAAAAGTAGGGCGGCGGCTCGCGCCATCTAGCAAGGAATGAAAGTAGAAAATTTTCTTTCAAGTGGATGGTTCAAGCATGTACTTGTTACATCGAAAATTCGCCCGCCAACGTAAAAACAAAAACACATGGACTACGAAACAGATCGTTTACACATATGCGGTTTTATTGTCGGACTGGTGACAAGCGATAGGTACAGGTCCGGTGTGGTGTGAAAATCAACAGAGGCGAGGGCAGGCAGGGGTCAAAAGAAAAACAAGAAATTTAATTAGGTGATAAAAAGCGGCGCACGGCAAGAACACGACAAAACCATCAGAACGAAATGCTAGAACACGCGTTACTCCAACAATACACTCACAAACCTTCGGGCTGCGGGGCCGCGAGAAAAACAAGACAGCACTCAATTCCCGGCACAACGCGAAACAACTCACCGGTCGCGACACAAACTGCAGCCGGGAAACAAGTTTGCCGGTGCAAAGAAGAAGACGAAAGTTCCGAAAAAGGAAAGTCCCCACTGCGGGACCCAACGCCCAGGGAAAAGTTCAAACGAAGTCCGAAGACTCACCGATGTTTTGAATCCGACGAACGACGAAAGCTTCACGTGCCCGGCTTGGTGGACTGGTTGCTCTGGGGCCGACGCAACGCAGCACCGCACGTACACACTTTCCGAAAAGGGAAAAACCGACGGCCGTCGTCACTGCTGGAATCGTAGCCAGAGCAGAGGGCTTGAGGGAAAGAAGATAGCAGCGCCGACATTACGTTCTCTCGAGCTGCGGGCCGCCATGTTTCGCGAGACGAGGAAGGAAGACCGACGACGAGCAACACCTCCTAGAAGAGAAGGCCGTAGCGCTCTACTCGTGACGTCGCGAGGGAGGGCCAGCGGGGGCGCGAGGCGAAGCGAAGGCAACGCGCGTGGATTCATCGTCGTAACGTGCTTTTAGTCACATAAGCCTGTCTTTTTAGCTAAATTGAAAGCTGCACATAGCAACGGGTCTCGAAAACATTTCATTACACGGGCAAAATATTACACCGCTAAGTGATCGGTATGATATGCCACGAGGAAGGCGTATAAGAGAAAACATTGATTCACGCAATTATTGCTGCAGAAATGCATATTTTACACAGAAATACTTCGACAAAATGGCAAGACACGCACTGATTGGACACAGCAAAACAGGTCACATTGAAAAATCCGGTAGACGTAGTGAACCCGGACACGGCTAGAGGAATGTCACTTACGATCATGTAAGCGATTTTGTTCTTAGCCCGAGCCTGAGGCAGGAAAAGGGGAAAGTTTCAAAGTAGAAGAAAAATAAACAGTCGAGGTAAAGCAGTGAGTGCGCAGGCGAGCTGGTGGATGTTAACCATTTTGTTCTTAGCCCGAGACTGAGGCAGGAAAAAAGGAAAGTTTCAAAGTAGAAGCCTCCCTCAGTCTCGGGATACGAACAAAATGGTTAACATCCACCAGCTCGCCTGCGCACTCACTACTTTATCATGTAAGCGATGTTATCGCGTGCAGTGTCTGAATTCTTGCATCATACCCCGGCCACATGGCAAAAGTAATGTAATTTCGATCCAATGAAAATATGGGGCCGACAAATCAGCTTGCGACGCTCATATAATCACTCAAAACAACGAGCTGATTAAATCCCGTATTATTTAATCAAAATATATTAACTTTTCCGTGTGGCAGGGGTACTAAATTTACAATTTACAGTCAACTAATTTAATTCTCCCTATGGGCTGGAGGTGCCTAAGAACGAAATATAACCTATTCTGTATACAATAATAATACTATTACCTTAATACAGTTAAGATTCTAGTATAAACGCGGTAAAGACAACAAAATAACATTAGTATAAATAAACACATAAGCACAAACAACGCATTTTCAATAATCACAGAAACTTGTTATTTACCTTCCAGTAAAAACTAGAATATTACCACGCATAATTATAAATGTCGACGCAATAGCAAACGGATAATGACGAAGAACAAAACTCCATTCTATCACGATATTAAAAAAGAAAAATCGACTGCAGCACTTTACTTGCGTCTTACATGACCAAGAAAGCCTCGTAAATAAGTTGTTCCTCACCTGTCGAACGTATTCATGCGTCCCACACGATCCACCACGAAACAATTTTAACACGAACTTCAAGAAGTCTCCCTTTGTCGAGAGAGGTCATCGGCCAGTGTCATCGTTGACTAGTTGCCACACACGTCAGTCAAACCGTAGCAGGACTTGTTTCGCGAATCCACTTACATTAATGCCGTAGTATCAAGCGAACACAAACACACACACACAAATCTACCCGCGACTGCGGTGACGACAAAAAAAAAAACGATAGGTAGGACAAAACCACACACACACACACACGCGCGAGAGCATCACCGGCAGGGTGAGACGAGAGGCTTATCATTGTCGACCCCTCTCTTCCTCGTGTGCGCTCCCTCCCAGCGCCGATGAATGGATTTTTTTTCGGTTCCCTTTCCTTCTGAGATATCTCGGCGTACCTTTGCATGCATTTAGCAGCTCACACGCAACGTAAATTTACCAAAATCAGAGCCCGTACGAGGGAAGATGTCGCATCGGAAATTCGGAGCCGGTTCATTCGAAAAGCGTGGGGAGCTGCGGGTGCTCTTAGTCCCGCGGTCACCGTGATAATCAAAAAATATAAATTTGGTAATTTCAACCTTGGTAACGCGTTGTATATTACGTTTATATTGTATATATAATAAATTGTACGAGACTGCGCTTTTAAAACGTGTATTAATGTCGGATAAACGAGCACGAACATTAATGCGCCGATACGCCTCGACAGCGGCGTTTCCTCACGTAGTTGCGCCATGGTCTTCCTTCCTCCGCCATTGTGACGTGCCCACTCGGAGCGCTACTGGCGCTAAGGCCTTCTCTTCTAGGAGGTGTTGCGACGACTGCGACGAGGCGAGAGAGAGAGAGAGGAGGTGTCGAAAGAAGCGGAGAGCGTTAACTCAAGGTCGCAGTGCGAGGACCTGCATGGTCTCCTTTCGACGGCGCAGCTGGTGCAGCAACGCACCGGTGCCGCGCGCCGCATGAAGTCTCAGCGAACGTAGTGCAGCCGCACCGACACGACCCGGCGAACGTGACGCGCCCGTCGGTGCAGCGCGGTGCGGTGCGGTGCGCCCCGACGAATGTGCCATAAGGTGTACTCGACCCTCGCGCGCCGCGTCTGGGACTTCCGCGTT